CATGTGATACCAATTATGTATCTGTATTGTTTATATGTGATTTATACTTGTGACTTGTATTATGTTTGTTGTGTGTGTGCTGTTTAACATTTATTTCTACGTACACCTGAACCTGAGTGAGATGTTTCTCACTCCCTTATTTCTCTTTATATGTGTTTAAATTATGTTGCAGGTGATCATCAGTATGAGGATGTTGGTGATGAGACTTAGGCTTCAATTAGGGGTGCTTTGATAGGATACGTGACATCAGGGCATAACTAGGCTTAGTTTAGAATTTCATTATTGTTATTTTGTTTTGGAAAAACTCATTTTTCATTTTCTTGTAAATTCCGCATTTAACCATGATTTACGTTTATGAATGTGAATTCTCTACTCTTATGTTAGCGGAACCATTGTTTTAATTCAAAAGATTTTATTTACTAATATGTTTTTATAACTATTGTATATGTATATTGGGGTAGACGGTGTCATAGCACGTTTGGGCAATGCCTTCATTCACATGAAGGCACGTTTGACGTTGAGCACCTGAGCCCGGCACCACATGTGACCTAGCACCCAAACACGCCAACATCAGAGCAATAATCTTAAAGAAAACATCACCATAATCAATCACATAAATTATAATCATCCAGAATTCATTTTACATCCAGAGAATTCACCAATTTTAGTGTCTACAACTTTTACTCCTAAAATTCCCCTTTCTACAAAGCCTTTAATTAATTGCTAACAAGGTACCAGATTACGAAATAAAATTCATATTTAGAGTTTACTTTACAAATCACATCTAACTCACACAAAATTTCATTAAATATAACACTTATAAGATTTATGCCAATCCTTCTAACCTTCATGCATACACCCAACTCCCAAGGATGAGTGTTCTCACTCCTCTCTTACTTGGAGTGATACAATGTATGCAATCAAACCCTTTGTCTCCTCTCCAATGATTCCTTCTCCTTGCTCTCTAGATGTGTTCTCTTTATAGCACCTAAGTATCAGATTTAACCTCTTAACGGCTCCACTTCATGATACTTTACATGATGACACTTCACGTAACTTCTTGTTGATTGGTCAAAACCATCTATAGGTAGCCCTTTTTGATATGTCCTTCACTTTTAAGATCAAAGAATGACCCCACAAACCAGCATAAGACTTTTTAGTGTGCTTTGTCCTCACTTGCACACTTTCTAGAAAACTTCCCAAAAGATTACCCATCCCTAAATTACTTCAAGTCAAGAGCGCTTAACTATGGAGTTCTTATGGAATAAGCTACCGAAAAGTAGATGAATCTTATTAGTATAGGTAATACAAATTAATTCCTTTAAGTCATCCTCAACTATACAATCTCACACTTGTACAATCTTTGGATCCCTCTCATTTTGGTGTGTTTAGGGTTTAGGGTTTACAAGCTCACCAGCTTCCACTTGGTTCATCCCCGAACCACACTATATTAGGAGAGAAGACCTGCTCTGATACCATTTATAACATCCCTCAGATTGATCTTTCAAGAGCTCCACTCCATGACACTTTACACGATGACACTTCATGCAACTCCTCGTTGGTCAGAACCCTTCATTGATCAGAACCCTCTGTAGATAGCCCTTTTTGATATGTCTGTCCGCTTTTAAGATCAACGATTAACCCCACAAACCAACATAAGAGATTTCAGCGTGCTTTTTTCTCACTTGCACACTTTTTGGAATACTTCCTAAAAAATCACCCATCCCTAAATTACTCTAAGTCAAGCACGCTTAACTGTGAAGTTCTTATGGAATAAGCTACCGAAAAGTAGACACATCTTGGTAGTATAGGTAGTACAAATTAATTCCTTTAAGCCATCCTCAATTATACAATCTCACACTTGTACAATCTTTGGATCCCTCTAATTTTGATGTGTTTGGGTTGTTACAAGCCCACCAACTTCTACTTGGTTCATCCCTGAACCACATCGTACTAGGAGAGAGGACCTTCTCTGATACCATTTGTAACATCCCTCAGATTGACCTCTTAATAGCTCCACACCATGACACTTCATGCAACTTCTCGTTGCTCAGAACCTTTCATCGGTTAGAACCTTATGTAGGTAGCCCTTTTTGATATGCCCGTTCGCTTTTAAGATCAATGAATGACCCCATAAACCAACACAAGAAGGTCACCGATCCATAAATAACTCCAAGTCAAGCATGCTTAACGGTGAAGTTCTTATGGAATAAGCTACCAAAAAGTAGATGAATCTTGTTAGTATAGGTAGTACAAATTAATTCCTTTAAGCCACCCTCAACTATACAATCTTACACTTCTACAATTTCTAGATCCCTCTCATTCCGATGTGTTAGGATTGTTATAGATCAGGAAACAATTCTTTAAAAACCTAAACCTTCCCCTGACCCTCTTTTAGTTAAAAGTCTTAACCACAATTACAAATTCCCTTCCTTTTAAATACATATTATAATAACATTTAATAAAATCTATATATTATATTCTAAAATATATTAAATAATTAAAATAAATATTTAACAACCCTTACTAATAAAATAAAATATCAAAATTATTAATAAAATACTTATATTGTATTTTATGAAAAATTAGGTGTTACAATAATCGTCAACAGATAATGTAGTTGCAAGAAAATAAAACAACACCAAACTAATGCGTAGTGGAATTGATTATCTATCTATCTATCTATTTATATATATATATATTAATAATAATAAACCAACAATTTTACAGTATTAGGCTTCTTTATATTATATCACATGCAAAACTTGGATTACTAAAGTTTTATTTAATAACATTTTTAAATAAAATTTGGCATCAACTAGACGATACTATAAAAAAAATATTATTATTGTTGACTCTTAATAAACATATAAAAATTAACTTTAGAAATATCTCAAGTAATGCATATTTAAAAGTCTAAAGACAACCTATATTAAAGATAAGTCAAGGTCAAACCTTAATTTTTTGATTAGAAAATCAATTAACAATCCACTTTAAAAATTTATGCATAATTATATATATTTTATATTTTGTTACTATGGTTGATATCTTGTTAGCCAAATAAGTATATTTATACAAGTTTTAACTACCTCAAAAATATCAATAGATGGCGCTTATTTTAATGATAGACAGTGCTTAAAAAGCGCTCTCTATTTGAACGATGTCTATTAATAGATAGCGCTTCTAAAAAAGTGCTATCTATGTATATGCAAATAGAAAGCACTTCCTTTTTAGTGCGCTAACTATGTCTATGCAAATAGAAAGCACTTCCTTTTAAGTGCGCTATCTATGTCTAAGTACCTACTTGACGCTTTTAAAAAGAAGTGCTCTCTATCTCTGAATGTATAGACAACACTTTATGTTAAAGCGTTGTCTTTGAAAAAAAATCATGCATCATAACCTTTAGTTAAAAACATGATAAAATTTAGGTATAAAATACATATCATGCATCTCCTAGGATAGTACATTAGCATACATTCATTAGAAATGGAAGGCGTAGACATAGTATGCAAAGATCTTTGAGAAAGGAGAACATTCTAAACTACAAGAATCATCAGTCCATGTTCCCTAATGCTAGGACAGTCTAGCCAGACTTTGGGACTGCCATCATTCTCTCAACAAAAGACAAAATCTACATCTTCTTAGACTTCTTCCCAACCAAGAAGGATGTCGTGCTCAAAATAGATTGGAGTCATTGAAAATTTCAAAAGGAGGTACGCAAAAGAAAGTAAAAAAAAAAGAGAAAAAAAAATTACTTTAAAAGAACATAGTTGGGGAGGCTAAAAGAAACTCTGTTGATGAATGAGAAATCATGAACTCAAGGAGTTCAAAAATTAATGATAAGCACCCCTTACCCCTCTGACTCGTTATCAAATCACTCATAACCGTGTCTTTCTTGTCTGACTCATCATGATGCTTGTCAAAAGGGGAAGCAAGTGAAGGCTAGCTTTAAAAGCAAAAATTAGATTTCAACTACTAGAACTTTACAATTAATTCACATGGATTTGTTTGGTCCTTCAAGAACCATGAGTCTAGGTGGGAACTACTATGGGTTAGTTATTGTAGATGACTATTCAAGATTCACATGGATTATGTTTCTTGCAAACAAAAATGAAGCTTTTCATGCTTTTAAGAAATTTGCCAAGCTTGTTCAAAATGAAAACAACACAAACATCACCTCAAATAGAAGTGACCATGGAGGTGAATTCCAAAATATTTTGTAATATTTTGTTCCAAAAATTCTGTGAGGAGCATGGTATTAATCATAATTTTTCAACACCTAGGACACCTCAACAAAATGGGGTTGTTGAAAGGAAAAATAGGTCTCTTAAGGAATTAGCTAGGACTATGTTGAATGAGACCAAACTACCAAAATATTTTTGGGCTGATGCTATTAACACAGCTCAAACCCTTGCACACAATAGTTCCTTTTATACTCAAGGGCATGAAAGCGTAAACATAGGGAGTTGTTGACATATGACTAGCCTAAGAACGGCCTTAGAGCCTGCAAGCCTTGTCGAAAATCAGACTCAAGATGATAACGGGGGCACCTTGGGTGCCTTAACGACCAGTGAGCTTAGAACCTCCTATACAACACACTTTTCTTGATAGGGACCATAGACCAAGGATTTGGATGTGATTATTCATGGGTGTACATTTGTTTGAGCATATGTGTGCTACACTTGTTGTATTTTTTCTGTTCATTTCAAATAGATAAGAATTATAGGCAAACAAACATGTATAAATAGTGATAAAAAAAATTGATACCCTTTTGTATACCCTAGCCCTAAAGCATCATATAAGATAGTTTATTTCAAAAGCAAAAAAAAAAAATAGCAAAATAAAAAAAATCATGCATCATAACCTTTAGTTAAAAACATGATAAAATTTAGGTATAAAATACATATCATGCATCTCCTAGGATAGTACATTAGCATACATTCATTAGAAATGGAAGGCGTAGACATAGTATGCAAAGATCTTTGAGAAAGGAGAACATTCTAAACTACAAGAATCATCAGTCCATGTTCCCTAATATTTATGACGTACCCAATATATATAGAAATTGTAGCAGCACCCAGCCATCCATGATCAATAACTTCTCCAATAACTTCTCCATTTACTATTTCTTTATGTTCATCAAGTCCAAATATACCTTTCTCCATTTCTATAGGAGGAAGTGACTCTGTCGACTTCAATTTCAAGTGTAAAGAAAGGTAGTTGCACCATTTAGGAAGATTGCGGCGAATTATAGTGCGAGGGGTACGTTGAATAACCATCTTCCCTCGATTTTTTGCTTTTGGTGCAATAGAGTCATTTATATTATTAACCCCTTTCTTTTTAGATATAGTGGAATCCTATAAAGTTACAAATTTAACAAGTTATCTAATAGGTAAATTATTTCATAAACAATTATGAATTAATATAATTGTGTAAACATACCGCATCAGCAACCTGTAAGAGGTTGATTGGCCATGCCACAAATGTACCTATTGCTTGCCTTATTGTCATTATGTCATCATCCATATTAGGTATTGGCAAGGAGATATCAGGCTCTACAACAACATCTATACTAACTTTTACATGTCCATTAGGTAGAGATCTCCCATGCAATGTATCACTTTGAATATTATGCAACTTTCCATGGGCAACCAAGCAAAGTAACGGTGATGATACAAATAATTTACAACATGAGACCCCCTACATTATAAAAACATAATTAAATTATAGAATATTTAAAGTAAGTAAATTTAGAGAGCTATTACGAATTTAAAGTAAGTAAATTACACTAAAATATTGAAGCTAATTAATATGGAGAAATTAATTACCTCAGGAAAGCTATTAGATGGGATTGTGCAACTCCCTTTGCCACTACTGTTACAAGCATCAAGTTTTTTTGTACTATCCGATGAGTCCTTTTGTCTAAGTGACAACATCTCTTTTTCCATTCGTGCCATTCTTGCACTCATGTCTCTTATTTGAGCAATTAATAAATCATGCTCCTGTTGTGTGTGTCGCTTTTTTGGTGGAAAATAGTCTTTGTGAGTGACTCCAAATCCCACACCCCTAACACGACCAGGATACTCTGGGACACATAAAGCTTGAGAAAGAATGTCTGAACGAGCATCAGTTATGTCCTCTGGATGTATACTTTGTGATAACAATTCCTAAAATATATAAATAAATAAAAATCAAGCATATAACCTCGCTATAACACATACCATAACTATTTGTAAGTCATATTTTATTATGAAAATATTTTTCTTACACATTTATCCCATACTTGTTGAACATTTTCATTTTCAATTTCTCCAGCTTTGTTCACACGAGCATTCTTCCACAATTCTTGACGGGGAACACTTGTAACATTTGATCCTGATTTCTTTATCTAATTTTTGTGAAAATAATCATACAAGTTAGAATTCATATTGGAAACTTGTATATTATATATTTGTGTATGTAGTGATTTACCATTTCTTGCTCGAGGCGTGCATACCCCTTACGTGAGGCCCTATAAGGGTACTTATTAGAGTGTGATGCCCTCTCCTTGTTTTTTTTGCTTATTTCCTGTATAAAAAGGTAGTAAATGAGTTATATGTACATATTGTAATCAAAAGATAAAGATACTATATTTGGATATTATACCTGAAAAGATTCATCCATACGTTTTGCAACAAATTTTCTCCAAACATCCTCAGTGATCATGGATGCATACTGCTCAGGAGGTTGAATAGGTGGACTATCTAAATAATTTCCATTCTCATCCTTTAGATGACAATTAGCCAAGTAAGTTCTAAAATTCCTAAGCAATTTACCTGCCACCTTTAGTACATGTTTCTTGTGTGATACATCAACATTAAAAGTTAACTGTCAAAAAAGTAATAATAGAAATAAGTTGGTTAACCATAGAAACTAATTTAAAATAAGTAGATATAATTAGTATATTTTACTTGTATATCCTTCCAAACCATGTTCTTATAGGCACTTAGAGTCGAAACTTTCCAATTATCACATGTTATAGGAATGTTAGATCGGACAATGGACCCGAGATAATTAATGAATATTGTTCCACCAGGTTCAATTGGTTGACCCTTTGCATTCCATGAAACCTAATAAAACAAATAAGCACATATTAATTTTTAAACAAGAAACATAACTAAGATTCCAAAGCAAAAAATAAATACATTACATCTATTTTTTTCCTTCACTTCTAGCTCGAATGATTTTCTTCATAATAACTACACCTTTCTTCCATTTAGGTTCATTAGAATCAAAGCTATCATCTTGGCTAGGAGATGCCATTTACCTACAAGAAAAAGAGTGATAAAAATTGTTACAATCGATATAAAGGAAAGATATAAAAATAAAAATAAATTAACAATATAATGTAAATATTATGTGTAACATTTTCCTCTTCCTAGTCAAATTAAAACTTTTTTTGTTTCTTATGGACACAAAATGATGGATTGATCCAAATCCCCTCATCATGGTCATCTCTCCTATATAGGATATCATCTACCGTCGGATCATCGTCAAGTATATGTGATATCTCATACAATGGGTCATCCTCAACATTTGTATCTTCATCCTCGATATCTTCATTTTGGTGATCATTTATTTTATTGGTTAACAACACAATTGACCAATTGGCATCAATAGGATCAGTGACATAAAAAACTTGTTGAGCTTGTGATGCTAAGATAAATGGCTCATCTTTGTACCCCACCTTATTAAAGTTCACTTGCATAAACCCTGTCTCATCTTGTCGAACTCCACTATTGTTATCAACCCACTTGCAACCAAATATGGGAACCTGAAATGTCTTGTAATCCAACTCCCATATATGTTCAATCACCCCAAAATATGACATATTCGCATAGATAGGGGTTCTATCTTTAGCACTTGAGATATGCATAGATTTAGCAACCAAAGTGACACCACTATTTTGCATGGTACTCTTATCATCTCGTTCTTTTGTATAAAATGTATACCCATTAATCATATATGCAGTGTATGAGAAGACCTGAAAAGTTGGACCATTTGCTAACCATCTCAATCTATTAGAAATTAAAGAGGAATTTGCATTATGCTCTGCAAAAATGTGATTTTTAGCCACTGTATAAAATTTCCATTGTGTTCTCTTATTATCCAATTGTCATTCCTAGTTGGGTTCAACCTCTTAAGCATGTCTTTATGCCTCTCAACATATGGTTGGACTTCATCGTCATTGTGTAGAACATACAATTATGCTTGCTCCCAATCTTTCCACGATATGGTCAATATTGTAATTCCAATAATACCTTCTCCTTCAATTCTCCCATTGTGTC